CGATCTTCGATTTTTTTTTAAATCGATTTTTGAATCGAGATAATAAAAATCAATACTCGAAAAAATCGAATCAAGAAGAGATCGATTTCTCAAGATTTTTAAAATCGATTTTTGAATTGAGATAAAAATTAATACTCCAAAAAATCTAACCAAAAAAGATCGATTTTTCAAGATTTTTAAAGTTTTATATCAAGTAAACATTATTTTATTATGAATTTAAGTCGTTTATTAGCGGAAATGATACAGTAACGTTATTAATTGATTAAAATATGTTTAATCGATAACAAAATCGAAAATCAATTCTCTATCGAAATAATCGATTCAAATCAAAATCGAAAAATTGAAAAGATCAATTTTTAACAAAAAATCGATTCTCTAAAAAATTGAACGATTCGATTCAGAATCGAACATTCCTACCTGTGATGGGGAGGGAGGGACATTCCTACCTGTGAATTATAGTGAATTCAACTGGAATGCACTAGCATTGCACTAGCACCAATTTCTAGTAACTTTGAACCAGTGATCATCCAACTGATCACTAGACGTTCATAGGGCGGTATTCATAGTCCGTTCTTATATTCAAAATCGTCTTAAGCACGGACTTATATTTGCTCTCTTCGTCACACATAGATTGTGTCTGACGAAGAGAGCGAATATAAGTACCGGCCATAGGCCGGTATTCATAGTCCGTTCTTATATTCAAGATCGTCTTAAGCATTATCTTAAAATGCTATGAACCAATCAAAAAGCCATATTAGTATCTTAAGATAACGATGACGACGACTTAAGACGATCTTAAATATGAGAAACAACTATGAATACCGGCCATAATCGGAGCAATTGCAATTAATAACATATTAACATGTTATATGTTTATTATTAGCATGTTTTTATCTACAGAAATGTAGTGCATTTCGAACCGAATACATATGGCGCCGTAAATTAATCAAGGATAAGATCAACCGAACACAGAAAACTAAAACAGGGCGCACTTAGTGCGCACTAGTGCATCCAATCGAATATTTCTAATAAGCAAAACTTTTGTTTGTTGGTGGAACATATATGGGCCATGCACTAGCACCAATGTGTAAACGACGAAGTTACCAATGGTGGACAAAAAAGACTAACAATACTGGCCTAATTTACACCGATTGTTTGATATAAGATACAAGTACTATATTTGTACTAATTCGTACTAAATTAGTACTAAATAACTTAATCTGGTTATACGTATACGAATTTAATATAAATTTAGTACAAATAAGACGTATAGTGTCAAGAACAATTATCTGTTTTTTATGGTGTACTCAATTTTCTGATTTTACTCTATATATGTTACCATTAGAGCCCGAAGGATCGACAATCCTTAAACCAGCTACACATGTTCCGGTAAACTTGCACAGGTATACCTGAGAAGTTTACCGGAACATGTGTAGCTGACTTTAAGATTGCCTAGGCAAAGTTAAAATTGTCGAGAACGTTTTAAGCAATGTCTGAATTGAAACTTTATTTCGGACTTTGCCTGAAAATCCGAAATATAGCAAAAAATTAGCACATAAATAGCTCTAAATTTTTCCATAAGTTCAAATTTTTTTTTCTTTGATGGGAGAAAGGCTAGGGATGGTCAACAACATTCTTCACAATCATCCTTTTTTTCCGATCCAATAGGATCATAGGATTTATCATCCAATAGGATTGTTCTTCTCTCCTATTATATAATACCAATATTTTAAGGGCTGCTTTTTCTTGCAGTTGCTTCTTTCAGTTCTAAAATGTACAAAGAAGTGGAAAGAAATAGAAATATAATCATAAGCCAAGTAAAAATACATAATGAAAATAGGTATGTATATAAAACTGGATACAATTAGAAGTTTGTTTGTTCAACGAAATAATTTAGAATTACTATTGTGAAATCAAAATTGTAAAAAATCAATAAAATTACAAATATTTATAGATCGAAAAGGTTACGTTTTCGAAAGTATTGCGAGTCTATGTCTAGTCAATGTGGAACAAAAAAAAAGTTAAATTAATAATATTTTACATTTGTCGATGTTTTAAATTGTTATTTAAAAAATATATTAATTTAAAAAATCAGTAATAGTTCTGATTTCTAGATTTTTGATAATTATTCTTTGACGCAAGCATTCAAGAACCACATGATTACGTACATAACCTACATGGTTAGATTGAATGTAAAAAATAAAACTTAATAAAATTCGTTGATTTAACAATCTAAAATAAAGTGGATTTAAAAGCTGGAACCAATTATTGGTGATGCTAATTTATTATATTTTATAATATTTAATATATTTATAAAACTTATAATCCATTCTCATTGAACAAAGACGTATAAATTTGAAGATTATCTTAAAAAGTTTTGGTGTATTATATTTGCAAAGAGAATAGAATTGCAAAGAGAATATTTTAATGCTTGTACGCAAATTTGTATGCAATTCTTGCTATTCGCGTGGAAAACAACGCGATGCAGAGGTGCGCGTCATTTTTTGCGTTAAGGCCTATCCAGACGAACTTGCATAGTCGCATAAAAATATGCATAAGAAAATTGATTTGTCCATTTTCTTATGCATATGTTTATGCGACTATGCAAGTTTGTCTAGATAGGCCCTTACCGCGGTATTATCTTAACGAACTTGTACTAAATCAACGCAAAACGCACCATAAATCTGCGCGGGCGAACCAGTTGGGCAATATACGGAGATTCCACACAAATTTACGAGCGGTTGTCAATATGAGCAAAAAAGAAAAGAAGTGTTTTTGTGAGAGCGGTCTGCGCTTTGTGGTCGAAAATTTTTGGTAGTCCGCTAGGGAGAGGTGAAGGGGGAAGGGACGAGAAAATCGATAAGTCGTTCGCGCGACGAGATGCAATAAATTTTCGGTAGCTCTGACGACTGCAAGAAAGTCGCCGGGGAAGCTTTTCGAAGGGAAACGTCTAGCAACGACTCGTTGCTAGACGAAGTACGTGAAAGGGTCAAGCTGCGGTAAAGAGTAGGTTGGAGGAGTGGTAGAGAGAGAGAGAGAGAGAGAGAAAGAGAGGAGGTCGCTCGATCGACGAGTAACGAGAGCTTACTGGGTGTAATGACCTCCACCTTGGGTCAGTACTGTGGCGAGTGAATTGTGTATCCTTTGGGACGTTCGATGCATCCGCGTCGTATTTATTCGATCGTCGCTTGATTTCGAAAAAAAGTATGTAAAGTTGATATGGAAAAATCGACAATGCGAACATTAGCGCGCGAGAATGCAAAAAAAATATTTTTACTCGAATTTTCTTTATGATCTGAACCGCTTGAATTTTCGGAAATTACGAGTCGATATTATATGTAGATCGATCTGCTTTCGATGTTATACATACACAAGCACACATATGATGTGTGTACTAAATTTAATAATCAATTCTTAAACTCTTTAGGATTCAGAATTTTAATAAAAAAGTAAATTTTCAAAAATGGGATGGGCAACTTCACAAAAAAAACTAACACATTTGTTTATTTATTAAATGGTAAATTTTGCGTGTATAATAATATCTATTGTTTCGCACTTTCACAAAAGAATATTTTTCAGAATGTCGAATACATAATACTTTCTTCTCTCTCTCTCTCTCTCTCTCTCTCTCTCTCTCTCTCTCTCTTTCTTCATACAAGTCATTGGCTTACTTTGAACTCAAAAATTGAAAATTAATTCTCTCAAACAACAAGTATACAAATCGCAGTTATGTATATCTAAGAAAGCTGTACCTATCTTAATTTTCTGTAAAGACGATAATCTTGCGACAGTACTGAAAGATCCATGAAATTATAAGCTATACTTCTCGCACATTATACATATATAGTCAGTATAATATAATAAACAGTGTGTATTATATCGTGTGTCTAGTCTAGCATAGTTTTTTAGTAATGAAACACCCGCCGTCGATAGAAATATTCCCTCATTTCCTTTTTGACTTATGTTTCTCTGAAGAACGCCGACAACTCAGAAACGAACAAAGCGCAGGCATTTGCCTTTGTAACGAAAGTTTTATGTTGGCATATAAAACTATCCTTATTAATATCTAACAATAAGAGACATGTAACGAAACTTGCCCTGTACAACTGTGAACTTTTTCTTCGTACAAAATGCAACACAATTGTGAAATAATGATTTCACTGTACAAATAATGAAAACTCTTTAAATACCAAACCAAACGCATACGAAATATTTTGATTTTAAACTTTTTAATCTTGAAAGAATTTTTGTAAATCATGTCGATCAATAATCAATAATGGTTTGCATTAAATAATCAAGCACGAACTATTGCATTTGTACAATCATGTCTTAGAAAAATACACAAGATTTTAAATGTTGGAGAAATTTTTCAACATTCTAAGTTAGAACATACTAAAATATAATTATTAAACATTCGCCCGGCAAGCGAAAGACCCGGGTTCAATTCCCGGCTTAGCCACTCGCGCCCTGATATTTTTTCTCTCTTCCTTTCTTTACAATAATTCCTATACGTACATTAAAGTTTCCCGATATATGAGAACAATGTACTTTAAAATTTTCGTACACTTTAAGTATCTCGAATTGAGATCGGTGTACAATTTAACTGTCTCTTGTAGACTAATTTACTAATTTCTTTAAGAAAAATTAAAAATTTAGCACGAACATCCTGCAACGGCTCTTATCGCCATTTTCATTATTTATCGTTTGTTAAACATATGGAGCCTTCCATTATATGTGGTTTAAAGTTTTATAATTATTAAAACTCTGCAAAATGACATAACGAACACTCGCCTATAATTTAATATAAATTGAAGTGATTTTTATGTGCAATTTATACTTTAAACTTCATCATGATACAAGTTTTTATAAAATAGATGTGTAATGAAGGTTTTAATGCTATTTTAATTTACATATATTTTAATACAAAGTCATAAATGTAGAATCTAGTGTGAAGTATTAGGCATGTAAAAAATGATTATTCTTTTATTTTTTTCTTTCAGAGTGGACCGTTTCGTAGTGAACCGAAATGAGGACACGAGGTATATATTTAGATCTTTTTTACCTATAAAATCATGCGTACGTTAATTCTTTATTAATTTTCTTTAAACTTTATCATCATTCTAACAATTTCGCTATCAATAATCAAATAACTAATATTTGGATGCATATATATGCATATATTGTATCAGTCGCGAAGCAGCCAAGAAGAAACATTAAATTAATTTAATCGAACAGCATGTCCGTAATACGACCTCTCGGTGCCGAGGTTCATGCGCAATTTTTCACTCGTTGATTTGTCTCTTTGCAACTCTTTTAATTATTTTCTTAAATTTTCATTTTGGCATTGATCGCGACGTGACGAATACCAAAAAAGAAATGCAAATCCGCACTTGAAAATGATATATATATATCTTACTTATATAAATATACATATAAATAAGATACTATATACAGCACTATATACATATACATCAAACTAAAATATTGATAATATTCTATTTCATTTCAATATTATATATATAATATACATATTATACGTATTATATATATATTGAAATGTCTTTGAAAAGTAGAAGCAAATTTCTAAGTAGAATCTAGAGCATGTGAATGCATGAAATAATAATAATACTCAAACATTGTTTTAAAACTAACATCATTTTATTAACCAATAATCTTCAATTAATTTGAAAAAGACTAAAATCACACTTTTGTTTTAAAACTAACATCATTTTATTAACCAATAATCTTCAATTAATTTGAAAAAGACTAAAATCACACTTTTGTTTTAAAACTAACATCATTTTATTAACCAATAATCTTCAATTAATTTGAAAAAGACTCTAAAATCACACTATTTATGCATGAAATTTATAATATATAAATGTGACTTGGGAGATTCTATGTCGTGCATGTAGTAAAAAAAATTTATAAAATTTTTATTTAAATTTTAATCGTATTATATGAAAAGATTGACAAACAAATAAGACACATTCCTGTTTTTATAACATTGAAATCTGTGAAAATGTACAGGATATGTTATTATATTTATAGTTTCTAAATATTAATTCCTTGTCTATAAATGTAGTGTATATACATTTAGCTGAGATTCAGTACTTACTGAGATACAGTAATGATGAAATTTTAAGTAATGTGTGATTAAGATTTCTCACGCAAAGCAAACGAAAAGAGAAATGGATGATATCTTCTATTAAACGAGCGCCGGCTTCAATACTTGTTAGTGAAAATAATGGCGGGGCTTCAGTTCAGACTAAGCGCGCTCTCAGACTGTGTCGTCATCGAGTAGCAGCTGTTTCCATTCAGCTTCGCCCTTCTTAGTTGGCGACTTCCTCTGCAGCACTTTTAATTAACGTGCACACGACACGCTTCCTATTTCGTCTTCTTCTACTCTCGTTTCTTTCTCTGCGAGTAATTCGTGTGCTGAATGAACCCCGGACAATTCTTGAAACAATGTCCGACGCAACCAGATAGCGAACACGTGCAATATATCTAAACCAATATTTCTCTTGCAGATCGCAGTAACCTAGTGAGACATTCAGATTGCATTCGATGTCTGATATACAATATCTAGTATTCAATAAGAAAATTTATTTTCTAGAAAATGGAAAGCTAAAATGCTTTTTAGAACGCAGACTCGACTGGATATTAAAGTCTCGTACATTGCATATTGGACTGTTTTTTTTTTTTATAGAGAACTCATAATACTTGATTGCTATTGCACAAGCCGGTTATTTATGTGAATTTTTTATAATTTTACGTTGCTGTTTACGTTCTTCTTAGCGTATTTAAGAAATTACTCAAATTTTGCTGAAACTCGAGCAGCAATATACCCATACAGCACACAAACGTTGAATCAATATCTAAAAAACGTAGAATTGTAACATTATGAATGTTTCAGCAACGTTGCGAAATATAGATTCAATGTTGAAAAAATATTGAAGAAATGTCTAATGTCAGCTGAATTGCAATGTCTGCAAGACAAGAAACATTAATTCAATATTGATTCAACATTTATTCAATGCAGAATTTATATATATTATGCATTATAATAATGTTTTGAAAAATTGAACGAAATAAATGTTTAAA